TGGTTAACTGAGCTGTAAAGGTCAGACTTCTGACGTGGCTGGTGATTGATTAATGGATCCAGGTGTAAAAAGATGAAAGGTCATTTTGTCTAAAACTGAATGGGGATTTTTCCTTCAGTGGATTTTTTTTTTCCAGCTGGGACAATGGAGCCTATTGCTTCATTAAGCAAAGAAGTCAAACCACAATAGATTGAATTTCAACAAATGTTTTTTTCAACCTCTAATAAGTACCAAACATTGTGCCTAGTGCTTTCATGTGTATTACTCATTGAAACTTCCCAAGATGGAATCCTTCCTTGGTACCCAGATGGAGCCTCCTGGACGAACCATTCATTCATTCATTCATTCATTCATTCATTCATTCATTCAGTGATTATTCATTGTGCCAGGCACTGTGCTAAGTACTATAGCAAATACAAAAATAAATATGAGCCTCTGCTCCTCAGGAACTCAGTCTAGTAAGGAAAACATATCAACCAAGAGTGTGACGCACGGTGGTAGTTGTGTTTAGAGTGGTAGAGAGGTAACGCCCTGCAGGAGTCAATAGGACCACCCACTAGCTCTGCCAGGGAGTGACATTTCAGCTAGACTTGAGGATGAGTTTGCTAACATGAATGAAGAGAATGGGCTTTGTGGGCAGCAGGAACAGCCTGGAAGTGTGAGAGGCCAGGGGATGTTTTGGAATTGGTATGACTAGAGTTTAGAAGACCTGCTCCAACATCAGGGGCTTCTGCCCAGAGCAGTCGGAGAATTGCCTGGGTCTCAGAACAAGTGAGTGGCAGAGACAGAGCTAAGCTGCAGAAGTTGGAGCTGTCTGGTAACCCATAGTCCTTGGCCTCCTACCCTTTAACACATACATGCACACACACACATACGTACACACGCACAAGCTCCAACCTCAGTGCCCCGTTCCCTGGTATAGAGCAGTCATTTGACCAGCCCCTCCTGTTCCCACTTCCCTTCGTAGGTGTCTGCCCCTGAGCTATGAGGATTGTCCCCAGTGAACCTGGGAGGGAAGCAGAACCCAGAGAAGGCTGATCTGTTCCAATGTTTGGTCCCGACCCAGACATTTGCCTGGGACCTGAGTACTTAGATCCTAACTCCTGTTGCTGAGATAGACTCTGTGACCTTCATAACGGACCTGATTGGCTTTGAGATGCTCCTTGCTGGAGTGTCCCAGAAAAGGAGCTGGGTAAGTCAGGCTGTCCTTTACTGAAGAGGAGCTACTTTTAATTTCCTGAAGCCCTAGAAGGCTGGAGTGGGTTTTTGCTAAAAGTTCCCTGTTCCCTATCTCCTACCATAAGTAGCAATAAGGGCAAGAGGGGAAAAGATTCTTTTACATTCCATGCTAGTTTAGAGGTAGGCGCTCAAAAAATACTCAGTTGGCTGACTGGTTAGTCAGTGGTATCTGTCCAAAGAGGCCCAGTCATTTCCCAAATACTATTCATCCTAGTTGGATTTTTAGAGAGGAATTGGATGTATTTTAGATTTGTACTACACCTCTTTTTGGAAGGGCTTGCGGCAGCTTACAGATTGAAACAATGTTTTTAAGTAAGACTTTTAAGGATGAAACATAAGTTGGTGGTCAGAAAGATGGAAAAAGTAATAGATACTTCCAAGCATCCCCGTGGCTGAAAGATTGCTGGCAGGCCAAAAAAGGAACCCATTGGGTTACCCAATGCTCATTTTCTGAAACCAAAAGCCATACAGAATCTCCTGCAGAGAAAACATTTTCCTCAAGCTAACATTTGATAGACAATGATTCTGTTTGGCCCTAAGGAAGTGAGAGACAGGGTGAAGAGTGCACAATTCATCAGCTGTCGTTTCTCCATGTGCAGTGCGCCCAGCACTGTGTGAGAGAAGGTCATGTCCATAGGTCACTGGTAGCAAGTAGACTTCACTGTGACAATGTACTAACCTCCAAATGACCCATGAGGACTGGCTCTGGGTCCAGGGAGAATGTGGGAGGGCGAGATGACTAGATTTCAGAATGCATGTTATCCGAAGAGATAACAAGCACCTTTTGAGTGATTATGTCAGGTGCATTTGTCATTTCATCTTAATAACCATCCTGTGGAGGAGGAATTATTGTTTGCATTTTACAAATAAGGAAACGAAGGCTCAATTTGCCCAGGGCCACACAGCGGGCAAGTGATAGTCAGGATTCGATCTCAGGACTATGCTTTTCTTCACCATTATATCCCCTGTTTACATGACCCAACAATTCTTGGTTAAAGTTTCCATAAAGAAAGAGACATATTGTGACATTCTGGCTGAGAGGGGCTGAGGGAATAGAGTGGGGGGACTTAATGCTTTGATGATAACTTAACCAGGAAAGAGAAGTTGGAGAGCCTGGATAGGTAACTTGTCAGTCGCCCTGTCATGTCCATGTGCGGATGTCTTACTGGAGCTTTTTGGCTGATCCTAAGCCAAAAAATAGCCAAGTCACAAATGATTCTCTGTAATTTGTCCACTCTGTGAACAGATAATTATACAGGATGGGGCAGATGTGGGTTTACAGTTGTGAGTACTGGAAACAGAGCTTATTATTGTATTATTTATTCTTATATTATTTTCCATACAAACAACTGTAAACCTACTTTTGCCACATGCTGTGTATCATCTCTCTCCACTTCCTTCCTTTCCAACCCTCTCCTCTCAACACCACACAGCCCTCCCCCAAGTTCTAGCCATTTTAAATACTGCTCAGAACGGGCCATGCTCCCCACAGCTCCAGACATGCTACATCCATCAAGACAGCTCAGGTCCCATCTTCACCTGGCGGCCTCCCCTGAGGTCCCCTTTCTCGCTCTCCCTGCCCCATGTGTCTAAGACACCCCACTTTTGTTCTCCCATAGGACCTGCACACCCCAGATTTTTAGTGCCATATTTTCACGGTGGGTCTGCTGGTGGGTCTGTGAGCTCCCTGATCGTCTTTGCACCCCAGAGCCTTGCACAGTGCCTAGCACGGAGTGACGCCGATGTTTGTTGAGCAGACATAATGAACAGCGGCTGCTTGCCGGGCACTTCCTGAGCCCTGGATATATAGAGATGAGAAAACACAGACTCTTCCCTTGAGGGGCTCACAGTCTGATACGGAATGATTAGAGCGCAATGGTGAAAGATCGATACGACCTATAATAGGGGATTTAGGGAGCACAGAGAGGGAAAGAATAACTTGGTCTGGGGACCAAGGGAGGTCTTCTAGGAGCATAATGTATGGGCCGAACCTTAAAATAATTAACGATTTTTGCCAAACTAAAAAGTATATCAGGCAGAAGGGGAAATGAATAAAGGCATGGAAGAGAGTCGAAGTTTGGAGAAGTGCAAGAAGTACTGACGTCTTGTGCCATAATTTGGAATGAAAACATGTTTAGACATCACATATGAAGGAGGTAGTGTTGCTGCTCTGTTGTGGGTGTTTTAAGACTTTATTATTCCGACTATTTTGTTTTCAATCCGTCCAATGGATTTTATCACAAGGCAGTAAAGATGTGATAGTCTCCTTTGGCGAAGTAAATAATAAATTATTTATAGCTTCTGGTTTTGCCTCCTTCCAAAAATGGTTTCATTAGACTTGTAACAACAGGCACACCCACAATAAGACTGTGCCGACAGAAACAAGAAACAAAAACTGTAGGTAGGAGGGAATCATAGGGTTTCCTGTGTTTTTCCCTTCATGAGCTCACTTGGTGTTCGGGACAGGCCTCTGTGGATGGGCACAGGTTCTGTCTGGCTCAGACACCAGCACATAGGCGGCTCCTGGAAATGCTTATGGATTCAGTAACTACACGGATGTTGTTCTCTTTTTCCAGTCGATGCCGCGGATATCTCCTGGTGCTCCGTTTCTTCAGGTTTCCCTCCCCACATGCTCGTCTCTACTTTGCTACCTATCAGATTCTTTGCCTGTTTGAGCTTCATCACCCAAAGCTACTTTCCGATTCTCTTGCCCTTTTAAAGTTTTTCTCCTTTGTATTTTTAATGACTCCATGCATAAAACTTAGACAAAATTAAAAAGCAAAAAAAGAGAAGTCCCCCATGATACTAAAACAAAGGATATTTATTAATTCCTTTTTATGTAAAAAAACTTTTTTTGATATTATTTCAGACTTTCAGAAAAGTTTTCAAGGATAGGACAAAGAATTCCTGAATACCCTTCACCTGATTCCCCAATATGAACAATTTACTATATCTGTTTCCTCTGTGTTTTTTTCCTGAGCCCATTTAAGAAAAAGTTGCAGACATCATACACCCTTATGTAAACCTAAATACGTCAGTGTTTATTTATTTAAAAAAGAAATTCTGTTATATAATCATACTATTATTTTTCATATGTGCCCTTATAGGCTTTTCTATTTATATATTTATGTATTGATATTTAAATTAAGTAATACATTGTTTTGCATATTTATACTTATTTATTTATTTTTAAACATATCTCCATTGATTTCAGAAATAGGAAGGGAGAGGGAGAGAGAGATGAAACATCAATGATGAGAAAGTCACTGATTGGCTGCCTCCTGCACACCCCCGACTGGGGATCGACCGCAACCCCGGGCATGCGCCCTGACCAGGAATCAAGCCCCGATCTCCTGGGTCCTAGGTCAACGCCCAACTGTGGAGCCACGCTTGCTTTTTAGGAGGAGTTAGCAACAAAGAACACATACAATCTCATGCCACTAAATATTCTACAGTATGATTCTTCATCTGGCTTTAGACACATAGCTCTGGAAGGCACAACATTTAACAGGCCACTCTGTTTCAGAGAATGGACTGTTCTTGTGCTCTTGCATGTCCAGACGTCTGTCACATCTGTCAGTGGAAACCTCTGAACAGATGAGCAGAGAAAGCCTTGAATGCAAATTTACTCTTTATTCTGTAGCCAGTGAAAGGTTCATAGCAGGAGAGTAAGCCAACAAGAGCTGTGTTTTCTGGAGATAAATGTGACATGGCTGCAGGGGGAGTGAAGGAAAGAGAAATCAGAGCATGAGTCCGCAAGTCCCTGGGCACCCCTAGTGTCAAGGGCAGATCTCTGCCCAGGGAGAGCACAGCCTTCTCTGGCATAAAGTGTCCTTTTCTCTCACGTGTCTTTCAGAACTGGTTAAAGTCCTATGGCTACCTGCTTTCCTATGACCCGTGGGCACCTGCGCTGCACTCAGGGAAGGCCTTACAGTCAGCAGTCTCCACTATGCAGCAGTTTTATGGGATCCCAGTCACCGGTGTGTTGGATCAGACAACAATCGAGTAAGATTTGTGTAGGACATTGTGCCTCTGAAATTTCCAGACTTAAGTTTGGGTTCACGTTTGTCATGGCCTCTCGTATACACCATGCCTGTCCTACCTTCCTACCTTTTACTAGGGTGTCACCCAGTAGGCAATACCCCAAGATGCCCTCTCTCATGTGAGCCGGGGATGTGCTCTGCCACAAACTTGCTGTGCGACCTTGGACAAGTCACTTAACCCTTTGGGGCCTCAGTTTCCTTATCAGTACAGTGAGGAGTTTGGCCATAGATGATCCTAAATTTCCTCTAAACTGGTGGTTCTCTGAGTCACCCCTCTGGCATCCCTGAGAGGTACACCTGATGCACAGAATCCTTGTTCCACTCTTTCCATTTATCAGACGTTTGCTGAGGGGCTGCGTGGACCAGGCGCTGTGCTTGATCTTATGATCCCTGCCCTCTGGGGCTCACCATGTAGTGGAAAATACAGTCTGGGACCCAGAGGAAACACTGAGTTTCAGGGAGACACTTAGGAGGTAATAACAAATAAGCCACGAGGATGGTCGAGATCCCTTAGGGAGAGTACAAAGAGGAGGGTGAGAAGAGTGGGATGGAGCCCCCAGAGCCAGCTGAGAAGGAGCCCACAGAGAGGCCTAAGGAGCCTGGGGCTGTGAAGTCATGGCAGTGAAGGTAGGAATGGCAGATGGGCTCAGTCCTGCATGGTGGTCAGATCGGAGACTGAGAAGTGTCTGCTGAGTTTAGAAACGAAGAGGCCGCTGTGAGCTGGGAGGAAAGGTGGAGACAAAGTTAGTTTGCAGTGGGGAGAAGGGGGAGGAGTGGAGATGGCAAATGTGGCAGAAACTTTCAAAGCTTAGCAGTGAACAGAAGGAAGAGATGGCAGCTAGAGGAACGGATTTTGTTTGTTTCACTTTAGGTTTGGAGAGTGTTAAGCATGCTTAAATTTGCTTAAGAAATTGCCACGAAAGTTATTAAAGCTGTTTAAGAAAAGCCGATATGACCATGAAGTCCTGAGAAAGACCTGGAGTGAGTTTCCTAAGGAGGTGGTGAGGGGCGGAATCCTGGGCTCAGGGGGAGGCCAGAGCTGGGCTTGGTGAGGAGCTCGGAAGTTGGTGGGCGAAAGAACAGGAAACCCACCCCGCTGTGAAGCCAGGATCAGTCCACCCCTGGGAGAGTCACTCGGTGAGAAAATCATCTCTCTGGACCTCAGCTTGCTTATTTACAAAGGGGAGTGTTGAATTATCTCTCGAATTCTAGATTCCATTATTCTGAGCGTCTAAGCTTTTAAAATTGGGTGAGTGTGGGGTTTTATGATTGTAAAATTCTGTCCAAATGTTTTCTATTCCTGGAAACTTCTGATTGTGAGACTGAAATTCTAAAATACTACATTAGACTGCTCCCGGGATGCTGAGAGTACAGTGGACTCCTTGGCCTGTGGCCTCAGTAGTGAGCTGGTTAGAGGGCGTCACCGCTTTTCAAAGCGGAGGTTATTTTGAGGGCTCTGTGCAGGCCGCGTGGCAGTGCATCCTGGGGCAGAGGAGCTGGTGTCTCTGCTGAGGCACCACCTGGCCTTGGGTTTACTCTGTTCCAGAAAGCCCCAGGCCTGTTGGACAGGGTTCAGAGTGTGGCAGGTGGACACGAGAAGAGGAGGCAGAGGGAACGATCTGAGGAAGGAGGGTGGCACTTCCCACTTGCAGTTCTGCCCCCGCCTCTTTGCACGAAGGCTGGGAACGCTGATTTGGAGGCATGGAGAAGAAGAGGCCAGTCACACTTAATACAAGATCAGAGTGGGGAGGGCATTGGGGTAAAATTTAGAGACCTTCATTCCGCTCCAGCTCCATGACCTTGGGCAGGCCACTGCCTCCTCTGGGCCTGTTTCCCCCCTGGGGAACCTTCCAGGCCTTGCTCAGCCTTGCCATTGCAGAGATAGCTCCTAGTTTTTCCCCCAGGGACTGTCAGTGAAAGGAAGCGAGGTTAGCGATTCAAAGTACTATTTAAAAAAAAAAATATATAT